CTGTGACATACGATAGCTCTTTCTCATGGCTTTTCATCAGTAGGCTTTCTATAAACTTTAATTGGATCATTGATCACATTTCCCGCTCACTGAACCACCAAGAGGCCCCACGGAAACCTGTAGCAGGGAACAATTGCATTTTTACACCAAAGCATTCCGTATGGCAGCTCTATCTTCACGGTTTTTTTTTTTATCAAAAGACTTTTTAAATACTTGAATTGGATCATTGAATATATTGGCTGCTCTCCGCACATCCGGGATGTCTCTGGGGGAGGGATCCCTTTAGCAGGGGACAATTACATGTTTGAACCAAAATGTGCCGTGCAACAGCTCTTTCTTCATGATTTTTCATCAAAAAGGTTTCTGTAGAAGTGGATTATTAACCATATTGGCCAGTTTCGAAACAATCGAGATGCCCCCGGAGAACCTATAGCAGAGGTCAATTATATTTTTACACCAATACATGCCGTATGACAGCTCTTTTTTCATTACTTTTCGTCAACATGTAAGATGTGACGATATGAAAAGATATGAAAAGTTTCGTATACACCGATGAAAATTCAATAATAACATTGAGAAAGATTTTTTCGGAAGCAAGGATTAGCCTTGGACTCGCCTGGGAATTGAATCGTACGGTTTATGAATTGTTTCAATAGGTATTTAATACCAATCGTCAATCAAAAGTTTTTCCAACTTTTTTACAGATGTCGATGGTGGGAACACGCTCCTCACTCAAATGGGAAAGGAACGAAAAACAACGCATTTCACTCCAGGGGTGTATTTTAGTTCATCCTTACATAATATTCAAATTTTGCTTTTGTCTGTGTTCATGTGACTATACTCACACGCTGCGAGTATGTAGTGAGATCAGATTGAAAAAGAGAAAAAGACAAAGATGCATATTCATTCTTTGCGATTCGTTATGAAAAATGTAAACAATGAACATTGCGACCAAGTAATCATAGCATAGCCTTCATGTTGACTTGCATCTGTATTAGTACTTCGAAAATCAGCTGATAACCTGTTTTCCAGTTGTTGTGATCCATTCAATGCTATAGAAAGCCTACTGATGCAAAACCATGAAGAAAGAGGTGTCGCATGGCATGTTTTGGTGTAGAAATGAAATTGTACCCTACTGCAGGTTCCCCGGGGGTACTTCGGTTGTTACGGAAGTGGCCAATGTGGTCAATAATCCATTTAAAGTCTTTAGGAATCCTACTGATGAAAAACCATGAAGAAAGAGGTGTCACACGGCATGATTATTGAAAAAAATGAATTTGTTCCCTACTACAACTTAAGTTCCACCGAGGGCACTTCGGTGGTTCTAAAAGTGTCCAATGTAGTCAATGATCCATTTAAAGTGTATAGAAAGCCTATTGGTAAAAAAACATGAAGAAAGAGGTGTCGCACGGCATGTTTTGGTGTAAAAATGAATTTGTCCCCTAATACAGGTTCCCCCGGGGGCACTACGGTGGCTCCGGAAGTGGCCAATGTGGTCAATACTCCATTTAAAGTCTATAAAAAGCCTATTGGTAAAAAACCATGAAGAAAGAGGTGTCACATGGCATGTTTTGAGTGAATGAAAGAACTGATCGCACTCATAACCCTCCCTCAGGACCGATTCCAGGGAAATGGCCATATCTCGGTTGATTCTGAGTCGATTTTAGCTCTTGGTACGTCATTTGATTTGGAAATGGTTCTATTTTTGGTGTATGAACAAAAAACACAGATTAGTAACGGACACTCTGAGAAAAACTCATCACAAATTTAGCAATTTAGACATGCTCTCAGGAAACCCAAAATATCTCCGATATCCGGTAACCTTAGTCACTTCCATTGCCTCACCATAAAACTTGATTAGTTTTCCAGTCGAATGTTTCTTGAAGATTGAAAATCGAACAATATTTAACGAAGTTTCAACAGTCCAAAGATGGACAAAATTTTGCTAGTACCCTATATTTCTCACAACCCCTGTATGTGGCGTGTATGCGAGAGTTTATGAACGGTATGGTACTCACTGTTGCAGCAGATTCTCCTTCGGCGTCACGACGCTGGCGTTGGCCCACACGGCTGCTCCTGCACTACCGTGCGGCCGGAAACTTGCGGCGCGGCTGCAGACAGTGTTGTTGCCGCTTTGGGGGAATGGCGGATCTGGTGGCGTTCATCAGCCACATACGGCTCAGCAAGCGTTGCTGGCTCGTTTGGCTGGCAGACGTCTTCCGTCGTTGACGGCATCGGCTGACCGTGGCATGGCCACCTTGGTCGAGCCGAGACGGGACCCTCCTTGACAATTAAGGCCACCGGCCTGAGGGAATCGTCCCTGACGGACGATAGAGGATCATTTACTATTAGGCTCGGAAGCCATCTTGACTTCCGAGCCGAGCCGTGTAAGACCGTTTTATTTACGGTACGAGGTGTACAAGTTGTACAAAAGCACAAGAGGTCCTGAACGGAGGTAGGCTTTCCAGCCCAAACCCCACAAGGGAGGGGGGGGGGTGGTTGTATTCTATATGCACTACACTTCACACTCAACTGGTCTGCACGGACGCCTGGTTACTTCTCCCAATTAGAAGGTTTTTTCTTTTAGGCTGTGAACCATTTGCCGAGTTAAATTCAACTCGTGGTTAAAAGTGACATTTCGAAAGTTATTTTCTATGTTCGAAAATCCTTGTGCTGTCGATCGTCCGGTTTTCGAGAACAACTTAGCCAAGGTTGTCAAAATTTACCTTCTTGTCTGTCAGAAGTAACCACGCTCGAATAGTAGGGTTAATCAATAACTTTCCATCTATCAAATTTTAACCAAAGGTTAAAAAATTCGCCAAATGGTTCAGAGCCTTTTTTAGCTTAAGACTACGATTTTCCTCCCTTTAGTATCGTTCGAGTGTTTTTGCAGCGGTACTAACCCACTCGCTGCTGTGTGTTGCCTTCTGTCTTTGATATTAAAATACGTGAATTTTCCAAACAACAACAACTCATACAAACAAAATTCCACGGATTGTAACCAACTGGTCACAAATCAAGATTTAAAAAAAAAATTAAACTTCTGTTGACCCGGTTGTTGGTTGTATGAAAATGTACATATTTTCAGTTCTTCGATTATGGCACACTTGGCCTATAGTGTTGGGAATTGGAAATCTTTGACAGTGGTTTGTTTACACTTCTATAGAGCAAGTGGTGCAAGTTTGATCAAAGTAGTCAATCGCGTTCAGAAATAACGTCAAATGGAACTCGAAAAAAAAAAATGTTCAAAACACCTGGAAAATCCGGAGTGGTCCGGTTCCAAGCTGGTTAGAGTGCTGAAGATTCCGAAAACAACAGTTTGTTCGATCCGAGATGTGGCCAGAAGGTACAACGCCAACTTTCAAACGGTGCGGAACATCCTTGCCAGGGAAGGATACAAGTCGTACAAAGCCATTAAACATCCGAACCCGCACATGAAGCAGATTTCCGTGGCCAAAAAGCGTTCAAGGCTCTTGTACGACCGTTTTTGGTGAAACACAAGAGCTGCACTTTGATCGATGACGAAACATACGTCAAACTCGATTTTAAGCAGCTTCCCGGTCAAAATTTTTACATCGCGACTAGACGTGGGGATGCGCCGGGAAGATTCAAGTCCGTGTTTGCCGGCAAGGTCGCGAATAAGGTCATGATTTGGCAAGCGATTTTCTGTTGTGGCCTGAAAACGGAACCATTCGTCACATCCTCGACGATGACATCCCAAGTTTACATCGAAGAATGCCTGAAAAAGAGAGCCAAGCCATCTTTTGGCCCGATTTGGCCAGCTGCCACTACTCCAAGGTGGTTCTGGATGGGTGTGCTGCCCAACAAGATCGATTTGTCTCCAAGCTAATGAATTCTCCGAATTGCCCGGAATTTCGACCAATCGAAAAATATGGGGTAAGCAGCGCAGTGGATCGCATCTTTTCCGCTTAAATTTTCTTTTTTCACAGCATGAAGCTAAGCAAAAAGTTGACGTTTCGAGGAAGAGCGTATCTGTTAGATTTTCACTTCACCGGAGGTGTAAACAGATCGATTCCAATTCACGTGAACTGTGAAATGCGAAAAGACGAAATTGAAAAAGGTCCTCAACCATTTTTTCACAACCTTTTCCGCTAGCGAAATTTTATGATTTTTCACTTCACTTGGATCTGTATATCTAGGGTAGAGAACTACTTCGGCCTAATCACCCATTTTGGACCTATCGAACAGAAAACTTCAAATAAATCCATGATTTCGGCGTTAGCAAGTCAATTATGCGTTTGGTAAGATACTATAGTTAATAAGCTACCGAACTAAGTCAATGAGTACGCGTGATATGAAGGTTTGCACCCATAATTCACAAAAACAAAAGAAGCGCTCCGACCGAATCAATTTTTATCCTCATCCTATAGGCCGAAGTGAATTCATTGGCGTTTCAATGGCGTTTCAATGCGTTAGGCCGAGTTTAGAATCCGTAGGCCGAGTTTGGCGTCAAGAAGCAGTGTTAGACTTTTGACAATATCTCAACGATTGGTTTCTCTTTATCAAATCTTACGGTACGTACGGAAAGGTAAATAAATTTGAAAGCCATCAGTAATAATAACATTCCGTTTGGTGCTAAACTGCGCTAGATTAAGAAAGACTAAGTGCGGGTTGTGCTTAATAGGCCGGAAATGGGGTGATTAACCCTACTAGGCTTTTCTTTGAAACTCGCCAACCTCAGACTTCATATTTAGATTCGGAAGTAAAGGTTACGGCGACGTTGACGAGGTTTCAGCACCCGTGGCACCGAGAACAACGGCAAAAGTAAACAAATCAACCGGTGCACTCTTCCTAACTCAATGGTGAGCACCTACACGCCACGTGCTCCGCGAGTGCGCATGTGTCCCGGCACCCGAACATGAGTTCCGTCACTCATCGCTGGCGACAACAAAACAGACACACAAGTTTAAAAAGTAAAACATTCCAGTGCCCGCGGTTCAGTCTACCGGTAACATTCGAAACAAGCGGCGACTGGACGAAGATCCGGAATTCCAACCGGCGGCGCCTACTAGGATTATCGGTTACACGCTATCCAAAGTCAAACATTAATCAATCTTGTTGGCTTGTTCCACCGTTCGTTCTGTTGACACAACGCTGACATATAGGACCCTACGACAGGCGCCGCACCAGAAGAGTCACTTACCGTGATTACTTGGGAGGGCGACGGAGTGTGATCCAGTTGTGTTCTTTTCTTGTGATTATTTTATCTTTACGTGAATTCGAGAGGACGGGGAATCCATCTCCTTCCTCTAGAATTACTGGAGTGATTTATCAAATCCAACACGAGGAAGTGTGAGAATGTATGCAGATAACGGGTGTCCGGAAAATGGATTCCCTGTCCGATACGCACGGCTTGACAATTACATTATCAACCCATCATCGTCGCCACGCACTACGGCCAGCGGTTACCGTCAGCAGTGAAGAAAAATTAGCTTTGTCGGATTTTCTGTGGGAAGCGGTTTTTGAGTGGTGATCCGTTTTTCTGTTCTAAGTGTGTGTTGTTATCTACACGTGTTGTCGCAACCGTATTTGAAATTGAAATATCAAATGTTCGTTGGGGTAATTGAAGCAAAAAGAGGATACACATTTGAAATGCCTACCATTCTGTGGATTATCGTGACGACGTTGCTGGCTGGGAGCTATTGTGGTAAGTCTAGTCGGTTTTTTTTCTCTCTCATGGGAGTAGGAGAAGGAATTTCGGGGATTTAATTATAAAAAAATGTCGTTAAAGCATGGGACATGGAAGGCGTTTTTTGTCTACCGTGATGTGATTGTTCATTGGTTTGAATTTAAGGCATAGATCAGGGGGTGGGACACTTTTGTTGAATGTAACAAGATATTTTTCTTTTCTTGACTAGGACTTGTAATCAAAAGTATCAGTAGAAAAGCTCTATCTTTTGCATGTATTAGTTTTTGAAAATTTTCGTTGATTTTTTTTTTAAATGTATGATGATCATTCAAATATATCTAAATTGGCTGGCCCCCTGGCAAATATTAATATTAGCCAGCTGTTTTTTGCTGACGCAAATAAACTTTAGAATTCCATAAGGCATGACTTATGCTGCCGTGCGATAAAATGTGACGTAAATCCATTTAGTGAAGTGTTCAGAAAACAGTTATTTTTGGTTAACCTCGCAAAAACATGAATCTTGATGTAGAAAATAGCATTCAATTTGTCAACGCTTATCAATGGCGGAGGTCACTTATGTGTAGAAAGAGTGAAACATTTTCACTGTATCTTCGAAAATGTTTGACTTACGTCACTTGTCTATATGTTTCAACATCAAATTTCGTACAAGTGCGGAGTGTTTTTGGGTATCATTTACGATGAAGATATCGAATATGGTAAACAGTGAAAATTGACAATGGTGGCGTCATTTTTCAATTTAGGTTTCATGAGACACTTATGAATTGCATAAGCATGACTTATGAACAAGGGGTATTCAACTCTGCACACCCTAATCTGTGCCGAAAGCTGTGCTCATCGTGCCGAAGTAGGCCGAAGTATACAAATCAAGGTTTCAATATCCTATGAGTTTGGCAATTTAGGTCGGGTGTAATTATAAATATAATACATTTACATTTCAAACAATCTTTTCACTTTTCTTATTTTTACTTCTTGTAACCGCCGGTGAAAAAGAGCCCGATTACTCACTTTTATTTTTGTCTACTTCATCTGTCTTTTTTCCATCGTGTTTCTGGTATCCCTGGTTAACAGTCTTCCGTTTCAATTCATTTCCTTCACGTTTTGTTGACTGCCTTCGCTTGTTGTTGTTGGTCAAAGCCTCGACCGTATCGGAGTCTACCCATTCCACGACGCTGTTATTGTTTCCATCATTGCTTTGAGCTTCTTGTGCGTTTTGATTCATTGTAACATCTTGCTGGCGTTGCTACTTTTGCTGTTTTTGTTTTTGTTGGTTATCATCGAGAGTGGGGAAGTCCGTTGCTGCAAATGGTGCAAAGTCTGTATTGTCGTTCATGTCTTTGGTTGTGGTTGAATTTTTACCAAAAGTGATGAGCTTTGCGTTAGCAGAACTTACAGGTCTTTATCTGGTTAAGATGAGTAACCAGAGTTGTTTCGCCGTCAATCGTTTGGTAAGATGGTATAGGTTTTGTTAACCGCATCCTGACCACTCGAACTCCGTTGTACGCACGGTGCCGAACTGCTGCAAGTGATCCTAGAACACCAATAATGCATACATCAACTGCTTCATCTTCCACGTATACATGAATTTTAAATTCCTGTTTGTCGACCTTCATTCCCCGCTGGAGATGATGATGATGATGTGTTGATACCGCTTCGCCGTGCTGATATCAACCATTTCGACAAAAATGAAGTTCCGCACATTGTGGAATTGGATGTTAGTAACATCGGCTAGATCCAGTTTTAGTTCACCGTGGCAGATGCGTCCGGCCGTTTTGATAATACGCTGAAGTCTACCACCAAAGTGTTTTCGCGATTGGCACCCATTGTGATTGATAACAGTATCCATGGGAGAACAAGAGTCGCACGTCTTTCATTTTCAATTTCTTTTATGGTTGCTGGCAAACATTACACTTAATTCTCATTTGAACGTGAGTGAAGCGGACAGTGGAAGAGGAACTCGATGCCATCCAACCTATACGTTGTTTCAGCAAATTTAACCTGTACATACGAAACGAGTACAGAAACGAAGGTGTAACTTGATTGATGGTGGACGAAATTTCCTCCAGCTGCCTGTTAAATGCTGCAGAACTCGAACGGGCGAAAGATCAATCCCACACTAGAAACAACATCCAGGTCATATGATCGACTCATTTCACTCGTTGGGCTATCTTTAAGTGGGCTACGTTTTAGTTGGGCTGTAGCCCACCGGAATCGAAGTCAAACGTCATTTCTGACATTGCAGATTTATCTTCGAGGGGCTCATGGATAAACAATTTGAATAGTTGCTAAACGATTTTGGTGATAATAGACAATCGATGTATCCGCAAGCAATTTTCAGCTTTGACAGGTCAGCCCAACTAACGAAAGCCTTTCAATAAGTGGGCTATGGGTTTAGCCCAACGAGCGAAAGTTGAGTGTACTACCAATGAAAACCATCAGATATCCCCCCACTCCAGATCAGTCATGCTTCGGAAATAGTTTGTGATCCAGATCCAGAGCTTCGCATCTGCAGTTCTACCAACAATCAATACGAAACTAACGATTTTAAATTGGCTCACTACTTAACTATTTAGCCTATTGGTCCCAAGCAAACGATTAACGTACCCCATTCTAGTCGATTTTCTAGTACTACGCAATGTTTGTTTTGATTCGCAATGAAAGTTTGACAGATAAAATGAGGGGTTAGTGGTTTTTATTATGTTTCGAGGGGTGAATCGATTAGCTTGGGACCGAAGAGAGTACCAGAGCTGAGCCAAAAAGTTGAGCACGTTATTTCGGGACCTTCTAGTCTTAGAGTTACCTCTATGGTTCTACTACAGGCAGGACTCTGTGGTTGTTTTGCTCATTTGCTCGCCCATGGGCTCTGCCAGCAAGTTGCTTAGTGTCGTCATGCGGGAACCGTTGACCCCCTCTGCCGCGAATCAAATTTGGAAGATTGAGCAAGGCCTTCCTGATCTTTAGGCCACCCATCGCATCGGGGCCCCTAGAGACAAACTAGCTCAACAGAAGGATGATGACAGAGATGCATCTGCAAAATGGCGGGATCGTTAATGATGGGTATTTGCATTTCGGCCGACTTGACTGCCGTGTCGACAAGACCCAAGTAACCAAAAGTTCCGCATTCAACGATTAAAATCACTTTCAAGTTCCGTAAAGTTCAAATAAAGTTCCGACCGAACCTTCAAGTTCCATAAAGTTCAAATAAAGTTCCGACAGAACTTTCAAGTTCCATAAAGTTCAAATAAAGTTCCGACAGAACTTTCAAGTTCCATAAAGTTCAAATAAAGTTCCAACCGAACCATCAAGTTCCATAAAGTTCAAATAAAGTTCCGACCGAACTTTCAAGTTCCATAAAGTTCACATATAGTTCCAACAGAACTTTCAAGTTCCATAAAGTTCAAATAAAGTTCCGACAGAAGTTCCATAAAGTTCAAATAAAGTTCCGACAGAACTTTCAAGTTTCATAAAGTTCAAATAAAGTTCCAACCAAACCTTCCAGTTCCATAAAGTTCAAATAAAGTTCCGACAGAACTTTCAAGTTTCATATAGTTCAAATAAAGTTCCGACAGAACTTTCAAGCCACATGAAGCAATCCGCACAAGTCTTTATTAGTAACAAAATTTAATGTACGTAAATATTAAATGATCAGTGGTCCGAATAAATCATAATTCTTATATTTATGCAGTGCATCAACATTCTATTAAAACATAAAAAAAAAATTAAAAAGTAATTTCTTGGATTCGAACCAGTGTATTCGGCATGCGATCTACTAACGCTAACCACTGCGCCACAAATGTGTTGGAATACCATGCGGGCAAATACCAATTTCAAATTCATCAAGGTATTGTGTTTCGTATGCAAGTCAGTCAGCTGGCACTGAAAACTCCAACAGTAGGCGGGACAACAGCTCGCTTTAATATATTTCAGATGACGCAGCGGTTCGTGCTGGGGCTCTCACGCAGAAGGACTGGGTTTAATTCTTCAAACAGCTCAAAAACTACTAATGCTGATAAATCAATACACATAAATACCTGCCTTTAGAAATAACTTTCATAAAAGTGCGAACTAAACATAGAATTTGGTGTAGAGGGCAAAAACCTTTTTTAATTTATTTTCTAAAAGTTCCGTTCAAGTTCCGCCAGAAGCTGCTTAGAATTCTCTTCAATTATGATACCGGAACTTTCAAGTTCTTATAACGACTTAAAAATGAGGCTGCTTAGAATTCTAAAGACCATCACTAACTAAGCTGCTTAAGCCACAAATGGCCTTTTATCAGAACTTTTGGTTACTTGGGGACCTTCTATACCGACCATAATGTTGACATGAGGCCCGAATTGAAGCTGTTCTGGACAAAACCAGCTGGGAGTTCCGCTACGAATCGGATGAGATTTGTTGGTTTTGAGCAGATTCATGGTGCATAAAATAGTTACAAATTTTTCCTTGGAATTTTCAAGAAAATGACTGGGCACAATCCTCGAAACCTTTGTTAGGCCCAATTGACTTCTCTACGCAAGATCTCACTTATACCACAAACGAAGTGACAGACGGAGCGGCTCGAAAACTTTGGTGACTAACCTTCTATTGCAATTTTTCAGTGTACCACATGGCAACACCACTACTACTGGATTGTACCACATGGCAACACTACTATTGGATTGAACTAGCATTTTCCCCAAATGTACTAGAATATTTTGGTTCTATCTCTTTCACTCTACTCAAAACTGAAATGCATAAAAAAATGACAAAATGATACGCACTCTTTGCACACTGTCAAAGAATCATTGTACACAAAATCAACTTTGTTCAAATCAAAACAAAAAAAACTAAACCATCTGGTGGATGATGGCACAAGCTTCCAAGAAAATTCTATTACAGTGAACCACATTATTTAAATGGATTTCTTCGCCAGTAAATCGTCTGTTACTTCGTTTGTGCTTATACAACCTAGCTAGTGTAGCCGTGTTAAATCGATTTGTTTATTATTTTCAACCACGAAATCA